ACGATCTCGACAACGCCGAAGATGCGAGAAAGAAAGCCCTAGAAGACGCAGAACTAGTCTGGCATAAGTGCGTGCAGTCGGAGAAGCTGGGCGAGGTGTGCGTGGGGGTGTTCGTGGATTCTCAGCAGGAGCCGCCGCTGCTGTTTTCGGAGATCAGCCTGCGGAACCACACGTTCCTGGTGCCGCTCGCCAAGGCCAAGGCGTGCTTGGACGACCAGCTGCTTCTTAACCTGCTGCTGCACGACCCCAAGCTCGCCCCCTTTGCTGCGGAAATCAAGGTGCGCTTTTTTTTTTCTGTCTTGTTTTTTTTTTTGTGCTGTTGCATCCTTAGCTCGCCAAGGCCAAGCCATGCTTGGACTGTAACACCTCGCTACCCACTGGGTCAAAACGAGGGTGTTATTTGGCGCAGCGGAGTGCCCTTAACACAGCCCACAGGCGTTACACTCGTCCCCCCCTGGTGCCAACGTCCCCGTTGGCCCTGGACTTCAGGAAGTCGGCCCCCTGCCGCTGGGACCTAGATTTCGCAGTGCTGCTGGCTGCGACTTCGCTGGTTGCTCAGGCCAGCGGAGGATCGTTCGCTGGGTTCGAGCTGGTTACAACCGCACTTCAGTTCTCGCCAAAGGCGGAAAGTGTGGTCCAGCCGGGATTCGAACCCTAGGCTCTGATTCCAAATGTAACACCTCGCTACCCACTGGGTCAAAACGAGGGTGTTATTTGGCGCAGCGGAGTGCCCTTAACACAGCCCACAGGCGTTACATGGACGACCAGCTGCTGCTCAATCTGCTGCTGCACGACTCCAAGCTTGCTCCCTTTGCTGCAGAGATCAAGGTGATGTTCTTTTCCTTTATTTTCTTAGTTGCTGTTGCACCCTTTCCATCAATATCATGACCTGCAGGGACTTCTTACAATTTGTTTCTCCCTCACAAACAAGCCGTCATGATGGTGAAGATAGCACTAGCTGACACCACGTGTATCCTTTTGTCTATAAATACCCTGTTTCCACTTCTCTCCCAACATGCCATGTTTGTCATGGAAAGGCAGGCTACTGCAGGCTGCAGCTGATGTCATGAGCGAGTTTGGACTTCCTGTAATACCGTATCTTTACACACATCCCCCCCCCTTTGCTCCTCTCTTCCTCTTTCCCACTTCCTCTTCCTCTCATCCTCCACTTCGTGCTCATGCTCCTTTACCCAACAGGCAATCATGATCATGGAGAAGCTGGCTGCCGCTGATGTCATCAGCGAGTGCGTACTCTTTAACGGCCTCTCCATTACAGTGGACAAGCCCAACGACTGCCTGTACATATCGGCCTGTCCCCGCCTCTGCTCCCACCTGGGCTGTCGCCGTGGGCATTGCCTCTACTCCAAGGACAAGGAGTTTGAGTGCTTCAGGGTGCGCGTGCCCCTGCACAGGCACAGCAGGGATGTTGCAGTGCGCTAGAGTAAAGCGTGTACCGGGGTAGGCGGAGGGGGAAGAAAGAGCGGGGAAGTGAGTGTTTTGGGGGTTGGTGGGGTGAGTAGAAGTGGGCTGTACAAGGGCAAGGAGTTTGAATGCTTCAGGGTGCATGTTCCCTTGCACAGATACAGCAGGGACATGGCAATGAGCTAGGGTAATGCTGCACCGGGGTAGGCGGTGGGGAAGGAGGGTGGGGTAATGTGGAGGGGGAGAGGTTGAATGCTTGCTGGCAATGGTCACTTGCTGCCATAGCTGTTGTCAATAAGCTTGCTGGTTGAACGCAGCTGCTCCGCAGTTCCGTACCTCATCATTCTCTTCTCAGCCTCCACTATTTTTTCTCCTCACTATGCAATCATCTATGGATATAAATGACCTTCCTGACGCCCTTCTCGCGAAGGTATTATGGGACTCTAAAAGGCCCGACGGATCGCGGAAATCTAACAGTGACGCGTTATGGCGACTGATTAAAATGACGACGCCGCCACAGTACGTCTGTCCGGATCTTTCAGACAAAGATTCTATTTCTGAGAATAACCCTCCTTCAGTCTATTCATCCAAAATCTGCCGCATCTCGTTTGTATGCCGCCGTTGGCGCGCTCTAGAATCGCGTTATGTCTCCACTCTCGTTAAAAGCGGCCTTCTTACTTCCAGCCAGGACCTCGCACTTGCCTTGTCTTCCTTGCCGAACCTCACCTATCTCCTCTTGAACGTCAACGGCGTGGAGTCTTTAGATGACGCGTTTCTCACTCATCTTGCCTCATCATGCCCTAAGCTGACTGCGCTGTACCTAGGAAGCCGAGACACCGAGCAACCCTTCGAATCGGAGGCTAAGTTGCCGCACCCTATCACTCAAGGTGGTCGGGATAATTTCTTCCAGCGGTGCACTCAGCTCGAGTGGCTCTCCCTATCCTGTCTCTATCCAGGCGTTCAGCTACCGCCTTCGTTCTTCCAGCTTAGCCGTCTACATACCCTTTTCCTACCAGACGCCTCGGCTTTAGAATCTCCGGATCTAGGCAACCTTTGCTCTCTCACTGCTCTCCATATAACTTCTACAACGATAACCATACAGCAACTGGCAAGCATCCCTCGCCTTCCAAAACTTGCCGAACTTTCAGTCTCCCGAAGGGCCTGGTATTCTCTTAGTTCTCCGGAAGGTGTCGCTTTCACCATTGAACGGTTACTGCCTTCTTTAAAGTCTCTGAACATTGGCCAGTTTTATCCTTCTGATTGGTCAAGCACGAGTCTCGAACGGCTGGAAGTTTGTCATGCCATAGGCTTGAAGCGGTTTCCTGACAGTTTCGGAGAATCTATGCCGTGTCTTCGCAAGCTGACGATTGATTACTGCGAGCGTCTCGAGCATCTGCCTGACGGAATCACTTCCTTGAAGCACCTGACAAGCTTGGTCATCTCAAATTGCTTAAAATTAGTGTCCCTGCCCGAGAACTTCGGACGCCTAACTTCCCTGAAGTCTCTGGTGCTAGCGAGGCTGAGCCTTTCGGGCCTCCCTGACTCGTTCTTCCAGCTCTCCTCTCTGGAAACCCTTTTCTTGCATTGGTGGGAACCAATCCTTCAATTGCCTGCAGAATTCTGCTGCCTTACAGCTCTCAGAACACTGTGCCTTGACCATGTGACTTTGCCAGAGGACATTGGCCACCTCAGTCGCCTCCACACCCTTTTCGTTAGTAGCTGTTCCATGAAGCATTTCCCTTCCTCGTTAACCGAAATATCCTCGTTGAGACGACTGGAACTGGACTTCTGTCGTGTTAAAGAGCTGCCTGAAGGCCTAGGGGAGCTAAGAACCCTGAGAGAGCTGCACATATCGTCCTGCTTTAGGCTCGTGTCGGTTCCAGCTTCTGTGACATGCCTGACGGGCCTTGAGAGTCTGACAATTGCTAACTGCAGAAGTCTATCCTCCATACCGAGCAGCCTGGAAACTCTCACACAGCTTAAACGGCTCAGCATAACCTCATGCAACCGCCTTCCCAGTGTTCTGCCAGCTTCGCTTGAAATCCTGAGCCTGGATGGCAGCGATCTGAGCACGTTTCTCCCAGACATCTCTGTGCTGACCAATCTGTGGAAGGTCTCCTTGAAGGTTTCTGTGGAATGTGGACACTCAGTCAGCAGACGTATGTCCCACCTGAGACATCTCGAGCTGTCACTTGCACGTGAGGCAGAGGAGCTTCCATTCGCCTTGGCGTTTGTCCCTCGCCTGCTCTCCCTGATTATCCTCCATTGTGGGAGTGTCAGAAGGCTGCCAGCAGATTTTGGATCGGCACTGCCGCAGCTGCGAAAGCTGAAAATCAAGTACGCTGAAGCGTTGGAGGAGCTGCCTGCAAGCATTATTGAGCTTCGGCACCTGACATTCATGAAGCTTGAGCATGCTTCCGCACTGTCCTCTCTCCCTTATAACATCGGAGCGTTACCCAAGCTGCGAGATCTGCAATTATTGGACTGCACTGGATTGCAGAGCCTGCCTGATTCCCTCACCCAACTCTCCTGCCTGCGCGAGTTAACAATTTGTGTAACCTCCATCCGCTTCCTCCCTCCCAATTTCGCACGGCTTACCCGACTCAGAACCCTTTCTTTAAAGCTCGCGTCTCATATTTCTGTGTCCCAACCAAGTGTTAAACGCTTGGTATCCGGTAACCCTCAAACTGTCGCACAACTCCACTGAAGGTTGGCCCAGGTTGAAACGATTGGTTGGGAACCTACAAACTTGCTTGGCGGTATGCGCAGGGACGTGCCAAACCAATCATGCGATCGTGCACCCAGGTAGGTTTGGAAAACACACCTGCACGGGGACAACACGATCGCCCAAACTCCCCCACCGGCGACCAGGTTGTCGCACGAATCAAGCATTTACAACAGCTGAAAAATATGAGACTGACAGAACTCAGAAACCCGATTTCGCACTAGCACTAGGCTCAGGTTCAAGAGTAAAACTCTTTCCACTAGCAACCGCGGTTACCTCTTACACAAAAGTTAGATTCTCGTTGATCAGCATATACGGCCGACCTATAAACTTGAAATTAGGTCTTCATTTATCAGTATCAGCGGCGACCAGGGTACATCCCGTGCTTATCGTGAACCATGTCCAGGTAATGAGGCGCGCCAGGTAAGGGACGCGATGGGGCAGGACGGGACAGTACGGGAAGCGACGGGACTGGACAGGACTGGACGGGAAGGGACTAGAGGGACGGGACGGGACGGCACAGGAAGGTAAGAATCTCGACGAGGGGCCGGGAGGGGACGTGACGGGAAGGCGGGATGCGACGAGACCGGACGCAAATGGAAGGGAGGGAAGAGGAGCACGCGGAAGGGGCGGGATGCGACGGTACGGGGCGGAAACGGGAGGGACGGGAGGGGACGCGACGAGGGGGCGTGCATGCAGGGGGTCATGCATGAATGCAGGTCCTTGGCGTAGCAGGGTGAAGAGCACATCGTGTAATACAGCACAGCACAAGAACAGCGCACAGTGCAGCAGCGCCTGGACGAGTGGGGCGATTGCGAGCGCAAGTGCAGCCAGTGGCGCGAAGCCGCCAAACATGTCCCAAAACTCGGTCGTCCAGCTTGCCGTCGACTGGTTGCAGGGGGGATGGGGGCCGAGCGGGGGAGTGGGAGAGGGAGCGAAGCAGGAGCAAGTAGGGAGCGGAGGAGCGGAGAAAGGAGGGGAAGGGCGGGAGAGAGGCGGCGGAAGAGGGAGAGAAAGGAGCGGGAGGAGAGCGGGGGAGAGGCGGGTTGGAGTGGAGGCGGGGAGAAGGAGCAGGGGGGGGAGGGGAGGGGGTAGGTGGGATGTGGAGGGGAGGAAATGGGAGGGGAGGTGAGTGGAGACAGGAAATGCGCTCCTGCTTGCCGGCGTTCATCCTCCCTATCTCCGTTCTCTCCTCCCCAACCCCTTTTCCTTTCCCCCACCCCCCTTGCCTTTCCACTCATTCTCCCTGCCGCCCTGATTAGGTGCGAACGACGGGTTGCGATAAATCCCGTCATTCCCCCTTCTGCTCCCCATCAATTCCCGCTCTGCTTTTCCATCAATTTCCCCTCTGCTCTCTATTTCCCCCCCTGCTTCTCCTCCGTTCCCCCCCTGCTTCCCCCCATCCCCTTCCCTGCTTCCCCCCATCCCCTTCCCTGCTTCCCCCCATCCCCTTCCCTGCTTCCCCCCATCCCCTTCCCTGCTCCCCCCCATCCCCTTCCCTGCTTCCCCCCATCCCCTTTCCTGCTTCCCCCCATCCCCTTTCCTTCTTCCCCCCATCCCCTTTCCTTCTTCCCCCCATCCCCTTTCCTGCTTCCCCCCATCCCCTTTCCTGCTTCCCCCCATCCCCTCAGCCCTCCTTCCCCCCACCCTCTGCCCTGTTCCACCCTGCCCTCCCCATCCCTGCCTTTCCCTCCCTGCCCTGCGCTTCCCTTCCCCATCCCTTCTCAACCCTTCCCTTCCTTTTCATGCCCTCCCCTTCCCCTTCACACCTCACCCGCCCACTACTGTAGTTCCCATGCATGTGCACCCATCACTGTCTCCCCACATGCTTTCATCATGTGCGCTTGCTTGTGTTCCCTTGCAGTTGTTCCTTTGGCACCTCACACCACCTCCCCCATGTTCCTTCACACAATTATTCCTGCCTACTCCACTCCCTGTATTTTCAGTGGTGAAGCAGAGGAGCAAGCTGAGGCGCAGCTAAAGCTAGTCCACGCTCTATACCGTACCACCACCTGTTTTTCTTGTGTGTTGTATGCAAGCATGATACTGTATTAGTGTAGGAGATATCCATATCAAAGGCACAATATGTACTTTTCTTTCTGCAGTGCAAGATATTCTTCCAAGATGTATGGACACTGAGAGTGTCAGAAGGATAGAGGCATGTCCCTAATACTGGCATGTTCCTATACTGGCTTGTAGCTTGTAGCTTTGCGTATGCATTACAGGTTGTATGACACCTGGTGTCGCAATGGTGCCTCAAATCCATGAGAAGGCAGGGAGGTGTGATGGAAAGGCAGGGAGATGGGTAGTAAGTGAGGGGAGATTTGAAGGGACGGAGGGTGAAAAGGGAATACAAGCGAGTAAACATGAGTTAATAAGATGCATGTATGGGGCAAAAGTGATGGCAGCACATGCACATGAACTGGAGGGCAGAAGGCGAGGAGTGACGTAGAAGGGCGGGGTCGAGAAGGGAAGGGCAGGGAGGAAAGGGCAGGGATGGGGATGAAGGGGAGGGGAGGAAGGGGAGGGAATGATGGGGAGAGAAGGAAGGGAAGGGGAGGAAGTGGAGGGAAGGAAGGGAAAAGGGGGGAGGGGAGATTGGTTACAGGAAGGAAGGGACGGCGGTGAGGATTGCGAGAGTGAGAATGGCAGGAAGAGTGTGAGAGGGCAGACGGGCCTTGTGATGTGGCCCACAAGAGATGAGAAGGAAAACGAGATGGTGGGAGGCATGAAGGAGATAAGGAGAGAAGCAAGGAAGGCAGGGAGAGGTGGTGGGAGGCATGAAGGAGAGATGGAAAAGGGGAAGCGGGATTGGAAAAAGGGGTGAATGAAAAGTGAGAATTCGGTAAGAAGGTGAGTGACGGGGGAAACAGAGTGGGCAGAGGGGAGAAAGGGTGAGTGTGGGGGAAAGAGAGTGAGCAGAGGGGAAAACGCGTGAGTGAGGGGTGAAAGAGAGTGAGCAGAGGGGAAACGGGTGCATAAAAGGGGGGTAATGAGAGCCTGCAGGGGGGGAAATGAGGGCGTGCAGGGGGGGAAATGAGGGCGTGCAGGGGGGGAAATGAGGGCGTGCAGGGGGGGAAATGAGGGCGTGCAGGGGGGGAAATGAGGGCGTGCAGGGGGGGAAATGAGGGCGTGCAGGGGGGGAAATGAGGGCGTGCAGGGGGAATGCCGCGCGAGGAGGCGAGAGGAGCACGCACGGGGAGGGGAGAGGAGCACGCGCGGGGAGGCGAGAGGAGCACGCACGCGGAGGGGAGAGGAGCACGCACGCGGAGGGGAGAGGAGCACGCACGCGGAGGGGAGAGGAGCACGCGCGGGGAGGGGAGAGGAGCACGCGCGGAGAGACGAGAGGAGCACGCACGGGGAGGGGAGAGGAGCACGCGCGGGGAGGCGAGAGGAGCACGCACGCGGAGGGGAGAGGAGCACGCACGCGGAGGGGAGAGGAGCACGCACGCGGAGGGGAGAGGAGCACGCGCTGGGAGGGGAGAGGAGCACGCGCTGAGAGGCGAGAGGAGCACGCGCGGGGAGGCGAGAGGAGGCGAGAAGGGGATATTGGGCGGCAGAAATGGGAGATCGGGCCGCGGGAACGGGAACTCGGGCGGGTTGCACGGGAGATCGGTCGGCGAGCAGGGGAGATGGGGTGGCGGGGAAGCGGAGGTCGGGTGGTGGGAAGATGACGGCTATTACCTAATCATAAGCATAGGCAAAGGGGAGCGCTACTGCTGCTCACCCCTGTTACGTGACATTCTTTGTCCTTTTGACGCCTTTGGATAGGAGCTAGGTTACTAATGGAGTGGTAATGCTTCTACTACGTGTAAGGAGGTAGGGCTGGAGTGCTAACCTTGGCGCTTGATTTTTCCCTATCACTTCACTCCCTTGCACAATCTGTGTTCCCGTCGTCAGTGTTGGTCGCACAAAGTGCAACTTCCCAAACCTGTCACGCAAGAGGTTCGGATGTGACCCAAACCTGCGCCTGAGCTCTTGTGTTGGCCTCAACACTTTGGAACTTCGCGCATGTATTTCCCCCGCTCGTCAAAAAACTCGTCACTCGTAAACCAATCAGGATCTTACTTTCCCAACCAAGTGTTAAACACTAGTAAATATGAGACGCGAGCTTTAAGTGGCTGTTTTTACCTTCAAGTGTTGCCAGAGGATTTGACTGAGCTGAAGATGCTCCAGAGGCTGGATTTGCGACGGTGTGCTCATGTGATAGGTCATGATGGCACTGTGGTTCCTCATAGTATAAGTGAAATGCATGGGCTGAGCATAGAGTATGATGTTGATGTCGATTATGACGATATTGAGGTTGTGTAGGTATCTGAACAAAGCATCATTTGAGCGGTCATCGAAGATACTGCTGTTCATATACCTTCTCACTCTTTATCTCTACTCTACCTGTTGAAGTAGTGCATGCATACGGTAGTTTTGTGATTGTTTGCACCGGTACAACAGAAATGCCATAATCCGTTGGATACACTCTTGAACACTCTAGTACTCTCAAGGCCTTCAACACATCTCAATTTTCATAGCGTAAAAAATGATCTCACCATTTTTTAACTTAGGCATCCTCAAACTGTACCAATATTAGGGTTCCCGTTACTGTAGCACCGACATTCTCGGCTCGCATTTGCTCGTGATTCACATCACCACTGTTATCCCCTCACCTCCTCTCGCTCTCGTTCTTCACCTTTTCGGAAACCCTAATTGGAGCTTCTCCCAGCTTTTCCTGTCACCTCCCTTCATATCGTCTCCTGCTTCAGTTTGCCTTTTTATCCGCTCACCTAGTTTCGATCACATGGCATTGATTCCGTAGCTGCGAGGTTCCTAACTGGAGAGTTTCTTAGTCTACTAGGTTTCGTTACGCGTTGTGTTTCAGTCGTGTCTATTATACGGATGATTTCATCGAATTAGACCTTTTCTTTTTCGTATTTCCGTCTGGCGTAGTTTAGGCGTTTATAATGGATCGCGCTACTCACGAGCCGTGCTGCTCCCATTTGCAGGCAAGTAGTTCCTCTGCTGCTTTTATAATTAAGCCTCTCTTTCTAGTCTTAGTGAATGTTAAAGCATTCTTATTGAAATCGAGGTTTTTTAATCACTTGTCAAATGCCTCACCTGTGCAAGACATTCTTAAAATGTAAATGTCCTTCATAGCTGTATTTATATTTGTAATTGACTTCCACGTCGTGTTCTTGCCCGTTGCTCCAGGAAGTGGAAAGCCTTCGTCAACTGCTGAAATGCGCAACAGAAGAGCTGCAATCTGCGAGAACCGCTGCCGCGGCTCAGGGACAGCTGCACGAGGCGCGGGTTCGATACCTGGAGGAGCAATTAAACGTGGTGAAGCGGGAAAGGGACGAACTTAAGGAGCAGCTTGAGACCGCGGAGCAAAAGCACAAGCAGGAGCTGGACCAAGCCCGATCGGACTCTCACGCCTTAATCCGACCGTCCATTACAGGCACGGTTACCGAGCCTGTGGACATGGCTCGGGTAACCGAGCCTGTGGTCGTGGCTCGGGTGGAGAAGGTCTCCATGACTCGGGTTGAATCCGTGAGCATGCAAACGGCTCCCAGTGCGTTGACACCTGGCTCCAGCATTCAGCAGTTCCCGCAGGGTGACACGTGGCAGATGTCCCCCCGGACAACCACCGTGTACCATCACGAGCAGCACCACCAGCAGCATCAGCCGGCGCCGCATCAGTCTCAGCAGCAGCAGCAGGTGCAGCAGCAGGTGTTTCATCAGGTGCGGGTGGAGAGCCAGCAGACGACGGAGCAGCACCAAATAAGGACGTCGTTAGGAGCGTCTAGCGTTCCAATGCTTGCTGCTCCTCCGCAGGCCCTAGCAGCGTCTGGGTCAGCATCAGCTCCTGTGATCGTGGAACTCCCTCCCGAGCCTGTGGTTAGTCAGTCGCAGGCGCAGGCGACGCAGGCGACGGGTCGTGCGACAGGCCTGCAGTCGCAGCAGCCGCTGCCGTCGTCGCCTGCTGTCGCGCAGGTGCAGTCGTTAGGGCCGTCGCATCAGGCGTCGCAGCTGTCGCAGGAGCAGCTGCTGGCGATGGAGATTCAGCAGAGCGAGGAGCAGCTGCGACTGCTGCGACAGAAGCGACAGCAGATCCATGAGGAGGCGATGGGTGTGGATTCGCAGAGCCTGCAGCAGCAGCAGGAAGATCAGCAGGTGCTACGGCAACAGCAGCAGCAGCAGGAAATACAGCAGCAATCGTCACAGCAAACGCAACTACAGCAACAAATGCACCAATTGCAGCAGCAGATGGAAGGGCAGTTGCTGACTGCACAAACCGCTCCTGCTGCTACCGGCACAGGCGGAGGCACGGGAGGCGCACCTGCTCTCGGCCAGCAGCTAGCCCAATCGTTGCCACCGTTTCCGCACCAGCAGCAGCAGCAGCAGCAGGGGAGTCTGCAGACTATGCAGTCGTCTCTTCCCGCCCACACCTCCCTTTCTGCCGTCCAATCGGCCGCTCCCACTTCGTCCAGTGGCCTGCCTCCACTCCCTGGGGGATTTTCCCAGGGACCTTCCTCTGGTTCTCAACCCCAGGCCTCGATACAGTCACAATCGGTACAAGGGCAGGCCATGCAGGGAGGGATCCCTGGACAGGGGATGCAGGGTCAGGGAATGCAGGGGCAGGGTTTGCAAGGGCAGCAGCAGCAGCAGCCGCAGCAGCCTGTGGCACAGCAACCCACGGTAACCGGAGGGCAGGTGCTGACGGGTTCAGGCGTAGCAGAAGCAGCACCACCGCCACCATCAGCCGTTGGAGGGGGCTCCGTCCCTGCGTCTCCTGCAGTGCGCACAGCCTCGGGAGGAGGTTCGGTGCAGCGTGCCGGACCTAGCTCGCTGCTTCGGCAAGGGTCCGGGGTGGGAGGTGCTCCCCAGCTAGTGCAGTCCGTGCCTTCGTCTCCTCAGGTGGGATTCGAAGTAGCTTCTAGCGCGGATAGCTTTCCCACCCAGCAGGGTCAGCTAAGCCAGCAGCAGCAGGGGCAAGGGCAGGCGCAGGGTCAGGGGCAGGGTCAGGGGCAGGGTCAGGGGCAGGGTCAGGGGCAGGGGCAGCAGGGTCGGATGGCGAGAGTGGGTAGCTGGAATGACCTGACGCAGCAAAGTGGGGCAGCAGGGGCTGCGGGATCAGTAGCAGGGGCGGGCATGCCAGGGGCGGGAGTGGGAGGAGGAGCAGGTGTGGGAGGTGCGACTGCCCATGGCAAGACGTCCTCTCTTGCTCCTCGGAAGCTGCTGCAGCAACTGCCGCCCATGCCCCCACAACCGCAGCAGCAGCAGGCGCAGCAGCAGCAGCATCAATCGCAGCAGCAGCAACCAACGGTGTCTGGCCAGCAGCAGCAGGCACAGCAAGCAACGCTGTCTGGCCAGCAGCAGTCTGTCCCCCCTTCCCCTCTGCTGCATGCACAAGGGCACATGCCCTCTCATGCGCTAATGCAGGCGCAGGCACAGGCACAGGCGGAAGCACAGGCGCAGGCGCAGGCGCAGGCACAGGCGGAAGCACAGGCGCAGGCGCAGGCTCAGGCTCAGGCTCAGGCGCACGCACAAGCCCACGCACAGGCACAGGCGGAAGCACAGGCGCATGCTCAGGCACAGCAGCTGCAGCAGCCGCCGCCTTCCCCTGCGCTCCAGGCAGTGGGAGCGTATCAGGTGCAGCAGCAACAGCAGCAGCCGCAGCAGCAGCAGCAACCGCCGCAGCAGCAGCAACCTGTAGCGGCTTCGCCACTCCAACCGAGGCAGCGTCCTACCCCTTCCCCCATGCAGCAACCACAGCAGGCGCAACCACAACCACAACAGCAGCAGCAGCAGCAGCAGCAGGTGCTGATGCAACAGAAGCTTCTGCAACTGCAGCAGCAGCAGGAGCAGCAGCAGATGCAGCACCAGCAGCAGCTGCAGCAGCAGCAGTTGGAGAAGCAGCAACAGTTGGAGCAGCAGCAGCAGTTTGAGCAGCAGCAATTGCAAAAGCAGCAGCAATTGCAACAGCAGCAGCAGCGGCAGCAACAGCAGCAAGGTGTGCTGCCAAATGCGCAATCGCAGGTGCAACTGCCAATCAGTTCCTCACTCCCTCCTCTCCCTCCTCAACCACAGCAGCAACAGCAGCAGCAACAGCAACAGCAACAGCAACAGCAACAGCAACAGCAACAGCAACAGCAACAGCAACAGCAACAACAACAGCAACAGCAACAGCAACAGCAACAGCAACAGCAACAGCAACAGCAACAGCAACAGCAACAGCAACAGCAACAGCAACAGCAACAACAGCAGCAGCAACAACAGCAGCAGCAGCAACAGCAGCAGCAGCAGCAGCAACACCAGCAGCAACAGCTTCAGCAACAGCAACAGCAACAGGCATACCAACAGCAGACCCAGTCCCAAACCCACTCCCTTCCCCCTCACCAAATACCCTTCGACACAGACGTGAGTCAACCCATGCCCATGGACGTCCTCCCCCCTGTAGCACCTGCTGTAGCAGCTCAGCCAGCAGACGAAGGCCCGCTGCTAGGCGCCATTCCTCGCCGCATACTGCCTGCTGTAGCTGCAGCATCAGGGGACGGCGCAGGGGGGTGCGCCAGTGGCACTGGCTCCTACTCCGCCTGTGATTTCCGCAGCTCGGTTCCTCCTCAGGTGCTCTCCTCGCCCCACGTGATACCCTCCGTGCCCAGCTCGCCCCAACGCCCGGCTTCGCTTCTTGCCGGCGCTACTGGGGCTGCGGCGCCGGCTGTAGCAGCTGCTTCAGCTGCAGTAGCCGCGTCAGCAGCAGCAGCTGGTGTTGACGTGGATAGATGCATCCTCGTGCCAGGCTCGGGGATGATAGTCGGCCTGAGCGGTCTCGAAGGCACGCCCCCCCGTGTGGATATGGTAGAGCCGCTGGCGCTGCGGATGGTTCGAGAGGCGGGTGGGCGGATGCCAAGTCCTCTGAGGGAGAGCAGGGAGGGCAGGGTGGAAGGGTTGGTTTGCCTGGCTCCTGCTTCTAGCTTTGTGGAGGATTCGGCAGATTCTTGTATCCTGCAGCAGCAACAGCAGCAGCAGCAGCAGCAGCAGCAGCAGCCGGTTCAGCAGCAGCAACAGCAACAGCCAATGCAGCAGCAACAGCAGCAGTCGCTCCCACAGCAGCAAACCCAGCAGCAGCAGCTACAGCAGCAATTTCAGCAACAACAACCACAGCAGCAGCCGTTGCACTCACTCCCCATTCCGACCCCCCAAATGGTCCTCTCCACCTACCCCACCACTGAAGACGCCGTTCTCGAAAGAACATCCCCGTTACTAGCCCCTCCAATACAACTACAATCCGAGCCAGCATCCGCCCTCTCCAAAGCACCCCCTTTGCAATCCCTAGGCGACAGGCGCTCCCCCTTACCCCCAGGGCACTCGCCCTTGCCTCCCGGCCACTCCCCACTCCTAGTCACAAGAACCCCCGGCTCAGAACCCGCCCCGTTAGACCTGGATAACTGTGGGGGGGGAATGCCTCTGGTGGGGATGCAGTGTGAGGGGCTGCCGGTGGGGATGCAGCAGCAGCTGCAGCAGGCTCAGGTGCAGAGCCTGCTGAAGCTGCATATGCAGGCAGCTGAGTCGATTGGGCAGGCGCAGGTGGGGGGTGAGAGAGGTGGGGTGATAGAGAGGAGTGGGGCGGGGCAAAGAGGGGCGGGCGAGGGGCGGGGCGGGGGTGGTATCCAGCAGCATATGCAGGGCCAACAACAGCAGCCGCAGCAGCAGATGCAGCAGCAGCCGCAGCAACAGCAGCAGCAGATGCAACCGCAGCAGCAGCAGCAACAGCAGCTATTTCAGAAAGGGGAAGGTTCACCGAGCACTTTGTCGAAAGGCGTTTTGGGGGGGGTAGATGTGGTGAAGGTCGAAATGGTGGAGATTCAGGATTTTCCCCTGATTCCCCCACTTGATCCCCAGCAACAGCAGGAGCAGATACTGCAGCAGCAGCAGCAGCAGCAGCAGCAGCAGCAGCAGCAGCAGCAGCAGCAGCAGCAGCAGCAGCAGCAGCAGCAGCAGCAGCAGCAGCAGCAGCAGCAGCAGCAGAAGCTACAGCAACAGCAACAGCTGCTACAGCAGCAGCGGTATCAACAGCAGGTGCAGCAGCAGCAGCAGCAGATGTCGATGTCACAGCAACAGCACCTACAGCAGCTGCAAGCACAGGCGCAGCAGCAGGAAAGGCAGAAACTGAAAGAACAGCAGCAGCAGCAACAGCAACAGCAACAGCAACAGCAGCAACAGCAACAGCAGCAGCAACAACAACAGCAGCAACAGCAACAGCAGTTACAGCAGCAACTGCAGCAGCAACATCAGCAACAGCAACAGCAACAGCAACAGCAACAGCAACAGCAACGGCAACAGCAACAGCAACAGCAACAGCAACAGCAACAGCAACAGCAGCAGCAACAGCAACAGCAACAGCAACAGCAACAGCAGCAACAGCAACAGCAACAGCAGCAATTAGGAGACACAGGGCAGAGGCAGGGAGAAGGGCAGGGGCAATGGACAGGCACCCCCCATGGGGCAGGAGCAGAGGTGAAGGCAGAAGAGTATGGGCTCTTTGATCATTCCCATGGGGCACACGGGGGTGCAAACGGGCATGTGAGCGGTCACGGGGCCGGGCTAGGTGGTGGTGGCGGTGGCGGCGGCGGTGGTGGTATAGGGAGTCTCGAGGAGGAGGATGAGGAGGAAATGGATGAGATGGATGATGAGGGGGATGAGGAGGAGGAGGAGCACCTTCAGCTGCACCATCAGGGTCAGATTCCCCAGTCTCATCCCCACCACCGCTCGTACCCGCCGCACTTGCTCCTCCACCCGTCACACCCCGCCCACCCTTACCAGCAGATGCAGCACCTGCCGCCACACTTCCCCTACTTTCATCCAAGAAATGGCGTTACAGGGCATGCGATGGGGCTCTCTTCTGTCTCCTCCCTCGCCTCCTCCTCTATTCCGTCTGCGTCAGCCGCTGCAACTACTGCTGCTGCTGCGGCTGCTGCTGCTAGTGCTGCTGGTGGTGGTGGTTCGACTGGTGGTGCCCCTCTCGTGGCTACTGCACCTGTGTCTGCTGCTGCTGCTGATGCTGGCACTGCTGGTGCTGGTGTTGCTGGTTCGACTGGTGTTGCTGCTGCTTCTGGCGCCCCACCCAGATGGAACCCATCCCTCCCCCCACACGGCCAATCTATGCCTCCGATCATCCCACCCACCCCACCCACCTCTGCTTCCACTCCTGCTGCCAACGGCCCTCCCCCTCCACAGCCCCTCCCTGCCCTCAGCAACCTCCCTCGCATCACAGGCGTTCCTGCTGCTGCCACTGCACCCATCCCCCCCGCACCCATCCCAACCACTCTCAACCCCATGCTGCTCCCGCCCTCGCTACCGACCCTCGACCCCGCTGTCCTAGCCTCGGTTCTAGACTCGGACGCGCGTCAGAGGCACCTCCCCGAGCCTCCAGACACGGACATGCAGGCGATGCTGAAAGCTCTACCAGAGCAAGGGCAGCTGGTGAAGGCTGTTTTAGAAGCCGGGCCGCTGCTGCAGCAGCTTCTGGCAGCAGCTCCTATTCCCCCTTGGAGGCCCTCTCTACAGCCTGCTGATCATCCTTCTGCTGCTGCTGCTGCGACGGCGGCAGCGGCAGCGGCGGCTGCGGCTGCTGGTGCTGGTGATCCGGGTGCGCTGTTTGTGCGGCAGCAGGAGGCGCGAGGGGAGAGGGAGCAGCAGGAGCAGATGCAGGGGTTGGGGCAGCAGCACCACAGCCAGCATCACCAGCACCAGCACCAGCAGCAATCGGCAGCAGGAGCAGCACCAGGAGGGCAGCAGGGGCAAGCAGGTGGGGGGTCGTCCCAACCAGCATCAGAACAGCTTTCCATGCCTGCTGGTGGTCTCCCTCCTTCCATGGCTCCTCTGCCACATGTCAGGCTCCCATTCGCTCCCACCAGCGCCGCGGCCGCAGCAGCAGCAGCAGCACTCGGCGTGGGTCCCTCCCCCATCCCTCTCCCGCACCTGACAGCCGCAGCAGCAGCTGCAGCCGCCGCAGCAGCATCTGCTCGACCCCCTGCCTTGCCTGTTCCCGTGCCTGGCTCATTTGGCCCGGCTGGTACTAGTAGTGCTGCAGCAGCAGCGGCGGCGGCAGGGGCGGTGGGAGCAGCAGCACACCCAGCGCTCTTCCAGTCGTACGGCCCTCCCATTCTCGCCAACGGGCGCCTGCCCCAATCGTCCTCAATGTCGGCTCGAATGAATGGGGACAACCCAGGGCTGTTGTGACACCACAGCTCGTCTTGGTTACCCCTGTCACCACCCCAAAGCAGCAGCAGTCCCAAAAGGCCCTCATATTCTCGCCGACGGGCACCTGCCCCAATCGTCCTCGTCGTCGGCTCGAATGAAAGGGGAGGGCCCAGGGTTTGTTGTTGTGACACCACACCATTGTTTAGCAGTGCACAGCGAATAGCAGGAAAAAACTTGGGGCAGCTGCAGTGATATGTGTTACCGTATTTGTTGTAGCCTCGGGCATCTCCCACAGCCTTTCATGCAGGGCAAACGGGATCCATTAGTTGAGGCTGTTATGGTGTAGTCCTCTTCTCTCAACCTATTGAGGAACGGAGGCATTCCATTAGGGCTTGTACATGATGGAATGGTATGGATGTAAATCAAGTGTCTCATCCTGAGCTTTTTGGGTAACCCTATCTTTGGAACTGGGAATGACAGTAACCCCCACCTCTATACTTTCCTTGTTTCTCTCCTTGCTTTTTGGGATTAATACGTCCCGTTTTATCTAAAATTTGACCCATACAGGTTTCTAACCTGTGACCTTCGCGTTACGGTACCGGTGCTAATAACGCGAAGGATAGCATTCCAGTCCGCTAACCAACTGGGATCAAAGGGCATTTTTCTTTGGTGGGTCAGCGCACCCATACCCCCCAGGACAACACCTGTAGCCCTTAGGGAGACCACTTTGGGCCGTTCCAGTGTCCACTTCCAACACTCCCCTCACTAGGAGGGCCCACCCACTAGGGCACAAGGAGTTGCCAACAGCAGAAATCGAACCCCAATCTTCCACACTCACCGTACCATGCACGGATAGCATTCCAGTTCGCTAACCAACTGGGATAAAAAGGCATGTTTCCTTGGTGGGTCAGCACACCCATACCCCCCCAGGACGACACCTGTAGCCCTTGGGGAGACCACTTCAGGCCATTCCAGTGTCCACTTCCAACGGCGACGTCACAATGACTCGCCACCAGTCCATGGCGGGGCCCCATAGCAACGAAACGGCATATCGTATCCAGGGCTGACGTTTCATTTTAAGCTTCCCTGATTCCGGGGAAAATTTTCCCCCTCTATTATGGGTGCACATTTTCCAGAAAAGCAGTACCCTGATTGCTCAGGGTTATAAAGTAGTTAACACTGATTGTTAAGGGTCGAGAACTGAACATCAGAGTAGTAACGCGCGCTTTGTTACCGGGGAAAATATCCCCACTCTCCATAAAGTCTCGAAGTTTCGATCAGAACGAAGTTTCGAAGAAACTTCGTCTCGATAAAGCGGGGGGGGGATTACGCACATGTGGGGGGATCACTGCGATTAATCCAAGGCGGGGTCATCGGAAAGAAACTTCCGAGAAACTTCCTCTCGATAAGTCGGGGAAAATATCCCCACTCTCCATAAAGTCTCGAAGTTTCGATCAGTACGAAGTTTCGAAGAAACTTCGTCTCGATAAAGCGGGAAGGGGGGGGATTACGCACATGTGGGGGGATCACTGCGATCAATCCAAGGCGGGGTCATCGGAAGGAAACTTCCGAGAAACTTCCTCTCGATAAGTCAGGGTCCACACAGTCGATACTCTGTTAAGTCAGGGTCCACTAACAGCCTAGTCTGTTACACTGTACTCAAAATCAGGGATAGCTAAACTATTACTCTGATTGGATCAGGGCTGGAAATTCAATAACTCTGAAATTTCAGTCTCCACGAAGTGGAAAGCCTGAAATCACCCTGAAATCAGGGTAATTACCCTGATAAAATCAGCCCTGATCGTATCATCGCTGCGTCCGACTCGACATAATTCACGTCGAAGAAGATGTTCATCGTGAAGACCCACGATTGAACCGTCGGACCTCCACGTTGGCTAGGATCGAAGCAGTGCGGGCGTTGCGGCTTGAGCGGCATCGGTGCGACAAGGTTGTCGTTACCGCTTGTTGCCGCAAATTCGACATGACGATGGGCTTCGCGAGGCCCGCTCGTGGTTGGTGCAGCCCTGTTTTTCTCCATGCCGGGCATTGATTGGGTGGCGCCATCACTGGCTGCGCCTAAGCGCTGTCCCACGTTGTCGTGATGTGACGGTGTGCCGGATGAAATTATAATCGGCTCATCCGATTGCGCAGGTGCATTTGCAGGTGCTTGTGTTGGTGCTGGTGCATTCACCGTTGATTGCTGGCGGGCGGAGTCATGTTCCGCCGTGAGTGTCGCAATTTCGAGCGCCGAATCCTCGAGTTGGCGGACGAGCCGGTCGAGTTGCTCCTGCGTCAACGTCGCGAGATTGAGGTCGGCCATGGCGGGGGGTGTCGGGCAAGCTCAGCGAGAGCCTCAGTCGTGGCCGTACGGTACCGTAAGCCCCCGAATATAAGCGCAGGCCTCGAATAAGCGCTGGCGCTTATAAAAGGATGACGGCGCTTATATCCGGTCCTCGGTTATAAGCCCACCCCTGAAGGCTAACGGATTATAAGCGTCACCCTCTGTTTGTTTTTGCTATAATTGTACTGAAATCGTTGTAATGAAACTCACATTTTCCATTCCCACATTATTGAATTTCGATGCCCTTCACCTCGCTCGGCTCATTGCCTGCGTGTCCAGTCAGAATGAGCTGTCGGCAGCGTAAGTTGACTCATTCTGACTGTGTGTGTTGGCAGGGAATCATTCCTTGCCAACTGGCGCGAGATTCTCAATTCCAGCCCTGTATAGTTTCGACTCGATTCAAATTGCAAGAACGTGATCTACAATTTGGTGTAAGAAATACGCATTTCATAAATGTCATTATATAAGCGCCGGCGCTTATAAAAATCCTCGATTATGAGCACACCCCCTAAAAAACAGTGTTTTTTTATACCCCCAGGGGTGCTTCTATCCGGGGGCTGACGGTAGTACTTGTACAAACTTTCTGCTCAATGCATTCATTCTCGTTCAGTATTCTGACATGGTTTCAGAGCAGGTCCTGTTCCAGGACCGTTTTTTTTCCGGCCCACCGCATAGTTCCCTGCTCGTAGCGCGGCCCCACTAGTCGCGCTGCCCTGCCCTGCCCTGCCTGTCGCGCCACACTGCCAGTCGCGCACCGCCCTGCCAGTCGCGCGCCGCCCTGCCCTGCATGTCGCGCGCCGCCCTGCTAGTCGCGCGCAGCCCTAGGTCGCGCGCCGCCCTGCCCTGCCTATCGCGCGCCGCCCTAGTTCGCGCGCCGCCCTGCCCTGCTTGTCGCGCCGCCTTGCTGGCCGCACGCTGCCCTGCCCTGCCCGTCGCGCCGCCCTGCTGGTCGCGCGCCACCCTCCCCAGCCTGTCGCGTCGCCCTTCCCTGCCCGCGCGCCGCCCTGCTAGCCGCCGCGCCGCCCTGCTCTGCCTGCGCGACGCCCTCCCTGCCCGCGCACCGCACTGCTGGCAGCCGCGCCGCCCGGCCCTGCCTGCGCGTCGCCCTGCCCTGCCCGCGCGCAGCCCTGCTGGCCGCCGCCCTGCTGCGCGCCGCCCTGCTCCCCGCGCCGCCCTGCTGCCCGCGCCGCCCTGCTGCTGCCCGCCCTGCTACGCGCAGCCCTGCTGGCCGCCGCCCTGCCCGCGCGCCGCCCTGCTGCCCGCGCGCCGCCATGCTGCCCGCGCGCCGCCCTGCTGGCCGCCGCACCGCCCTGCCCTACATGCGCGCCGCCCTGCTGGCCGCCGCCCTGCCCTGCCATTTGCGCTGCCCTGCCCTGGCCGCGCGCCGCTCTTCCCTAGCCGTGCGCCGCCCTGCCCTGCCCTGCGCGCTTCCCTAGTGCTCGCGCGCCGCCCTGCCTGCGTGCTGCCCTGCTGGTCGCGCGCCACCCTGCTCTGCCCGCTATGGCTTCTCTCAGTGTTCTCACCTTTGATCATGAGGGCCGTCCGATCCAGTTCGATACGTGGCTCGACGACTTACAGCTGTACCTACTGAGCCATTCTAGAGACAACGTTTCGTTGTTTGACCACACATCTGGAGCCTCTCTCGCCCCCCCCGCCACAGGTGACAATGCGACTCGCTCATAGTGGCTTACCCGTGACGCTGCTGCTCGCTTAACCGTTCGCAACCACCTGCCGTTAGCCGAACGCACTCAATTTGGCCAGCACAAGACTGCTAAAGCCCAGTACGACTCTGTAGTCGCTCGTTACTCTTCCCCTGCCACTGCTGCTCTCGGCCGCCTTATACTGCCCTACCCTTTTCCCGTGCTATCATCCTTTGCCACAGTCGAGGACCTCATCACCCACCTTCGCACTAGCGACACTCGCTACCGCGCTGCCCTCAAAGCCGAGTTCCTAGACAAGAACCCGCCCCCGATGTACATCACTCTCTACTTCATAGTCACCCGCCTCCCTGACTCTCTTCGCGTAGTCAGAGACCACTCTCTCGCGCTTGACCCCACAGACCTCACTGTCGACCTGCTCGAAAAGCACCTCCTTGCAGCTGAGACTAGCGTAGTCGCTGTAAGTGCTGCTCGTGGCACTCCTCGCACACCCTTCTTTGAGGGGTGTTCCCCCTCCCCCCTTGCCTCCTCCTACGCTTCTGCTAGTGCTGTTGACATCCTTGGTACTGAGGACGTCGGGGCTGCTTCTGCTCTTAGTGGGAAGCGCCGCAACGGCAAGGGCAAGGGTGGCAAGAGTGGTGGCGGTGGCAGCGGGGGTTGTGGTGGTGGAGGCGGTGGAGGTGGTGGAGATGGCGGAGGTGGCGGTGGGAGTGGTGGCGAGAGTGGGGGCTTCGGTGGCGGTGGTGGTGGCAGCAATGGGAATGGTGGTGGCGGTGGTGGTGGCAGTGGGAGTGGTGGAGGCGGCAGTGGTGGCGGTCAGGGTGGAGCTGTTCAGAGGGGAGGTTCTGGCGGTGGCCAGAGGCAGCAGCAGCAGCGTCGGAGCGAGACCCCTACGCCCTAGCAGCTACGTGAACGGTTTGCTCAGCGCGGGGCGTCTGGGGGTAGTGTTCGCTGCCCGTATGTCATTCACACAGGTGACCGCGCTGGTCAGACATGCAGGATGTTTCACACACAGCACCGCTGCTTCTCTTGCCTTGACG